GTTCCAATGGATGATTTACCCAAACACTCCGACCTTGTTTTTCCCTCTGGTACACGGATTTGGACCTAGGGTTTTGCAGCCTAGTTGAGACCTGAATCGAATTGGGTTCTCGATGTGGCAAAACAACTTGAAGAATATTTGCTCGAGGTCTGTTAATGGCCATGTTCCTATAAACTCTGCAGAAGCTGCTCTATTGCTTCAAGGGTCTATACAGAGTTACATTAGAAAGGTTGAATACCTATATTCCCTGGTCTTACATGTATATTCTCTAGACTTACATACCTTAGAGTTCATCACCCAGAAGAGGCAGGATCAACAGGAAAAGTCATCGATCCATCTTGATGGAAGTGATGCTGATGCAATTGTTGATGATGGCGTTGCAAAAAGATAGGTAGGATCAACAGGAAAAGTCATCGATCCATCTTGATGGAAGTGATGCTGATGCAATTGTTGATGATGGCGTTGCAAAAAGATCTTTACCAAGTTGCAGCGAACAATACTCTGAAGGAGATCAAAAACTAGGATGGTACTACGAAATTCTTGGGAAAAAACGAGGCCAGATGAAAGCAGTTTTATCTGTGGGTGTACCAGCTTTCATCTGTGGGTGTACCAGAGGGGCTCCGGTAGAGGTAGGAAATCAAATTTTTTCTTGGCTCTCATACCATGTTATAATTCCTGGGAGTATAATTGAGAATGGAGAGCGAAGTAGAGAGAATACAATATTTATGTCGTTCAGGTTTGGCCGAAGCCTTACGTCTACAGATCCAAAGCTCAATTGGTTACATCTTCACTATTTTGGATGAATGTTTACATCTACGTTTACGGATCTAAAGCCCAATTAGCTTTGGATGAATGTTTACATCTACGTTAACGGATCTAAAGCCCAACTAGCTACATCTTCACTATTTTGATCTAAAGCCCAACTAGCTACATCTTCACTATTTTGATCTAAAGCCCAACTAGTTACATCTTCACTATTTTGATCTAAAGCCCAACTAGCTACATCTTCACTATTTTGGATGAATGTTTATGTCTACTGATTCACTATTGCCCAACTAGCTACATCTTCACTATTTTGGATGAATGTTTACGTCTACGGATTCACTATTTTGGATGAATGTTTACGTCTACGGATCCAAAGCCCAATTGGCTACATCTTCAAAGCCCAATTGACTACATATTCACTATTTTGGATGAATGTTTACATCTACATTCACGGATCTAAAGACCAACTAGCTACATCTTCACTATTTTGGATGAATGTTTACATCAATAAGTAGCTCTATATATAGAGGACAATCACACAATTAGATAAGATAATTATGAAATGATAACTTGATGACTAAAATAACTTGCTATCTATTTGGTCTTTATCTTCTAGATACCTAACCTTATCAAGAGATATATACATATGCATCCATAATGATGTTTATCAATATGAACCCGATATATAAATATCCTAATATTGTATGCATAGTAAAGTGTACATTACACTATTGTAATACCATTATATATATAATGAAAGAATCACTACAAGAGATATATACATATACATCCATAATGATGTATATCAATATAAACCCGATATATCCATATTCTAACATTGTATGTATAGCAAAGTGTATATTACACTATTGTAATACCATTATGTATACAATGAAAGAACCACCACAAGATACGTGGGGCACAATTATTTCACAAAAATTCATTTCTCTCTCTAAATTTCTTTATGATATCAGAGCAAGCAGAAACCTCCTACCCCCAACACTTCATCAAGTCATCTCCCTCTCAAGTTCTTCTTCTTTTTTGAATTGTTGTTACGGGCTTCTTCTCTTGCACGCAACAACAAGAGCTTTGTCTACCATTATATCCATAGAAGACTTTGGACATGGAAATATCTATGATCACTCTAAACTTAATTTCCACCACTAAACATGAAATTTCTAGCTCAATAAATGGTAAAGATTTTATAGATATGTGAACACTTGAAAATAGACGGTTTAGATAATGTGTTATAATATACACAATTTTTAGGGCTTGAAATACTAATAGTTTTTTCATAACTATAATTGCTAAGGTTGAAATGATCGACATGAAAGTTTTCCAATGCCAGAACTGCAATATTTGTTGAGTTTTGAGATGATGCTTTACTTATTTTGATGCGGTTGCAGCAGCCCTGTCAAAATATTTTGTTTCTCACATGTTAGGAACACCGAAATCAGAATCCGCAAACGGCTGACAAAATCCGGCAAAAGTCCCTCTTTGCTTCCATTTGCAAAATACCCACTTTGGAAGATTTTCTTGATATAAAATTTTGTATACACTTTACAATCATAAGATGAGCAGAAAAAAGATAAAAAATTGGGTCTTTGAATACCTTGATGAACGGTGGTTTTTCTTGATATTTAATTTTGAAAAGATTAAAACATCAGCTCAACCCTGAACATATTTCGGGCTATGTTCTACTCAATCTGAAGACTAACGAGAAATTTAAAACTTGACCATGCTCTCCTTTGCATGGAAAAAAGCACAATGCATGGATAATACATGGATATTCCAAATTTTTGTTGGTTAAATCTGGCGTTTAACCTAATGTAGTTTTCCTAAATACTCGTATAATGATTCTAAAATAGGTCCAAAAGCTTGGCCCATTAGTGTACTGTAAACCGATCTTTCTACTTCCACGCGTTTATGCAATCAAAATCTGAATTTCCTTTTTTCTTTTTGCAATAAAAAAAATCTGAAGTTCTTGATTGGCAAAATAATTGCTAAACTTCATATCTTTAAGATTCAAAGTTTTTTTTTTATAGTAATTTTGTCGTCACTACGAACTCGCGTAATGGGCTTTCATAACTTTGAATCTTCCTAAAAAAGGTAATTAACTTCAGAGCCAACAATTATTTGGAAGTACATGCACATTATTTACCCTTATTTTTAGGTTGGTGCCAAGGTTTATCAACGAATTTTGAGTGCATTTTGCTCCAGCAGTTCTGGAAAAGTGATTTCTCATATGAGCCTCCATGTCCATGATACGAGAGATGTAAATAATAAGGAGCGTAAACCCAGTCCTAGCAAATGCCTCCACGGGTTAAGTATTTCTTTTCCTCTGCCCAATTAGGGCTTGTGAAACTTTCGAGTACCTGGTCCTACAAGACCACCATGAAATCACCCTCCCCAGTCCCCACCTACCAACTTGCTTAGCAGATCGTTTTCATAGAATTGTTTTAATTTATCACGTTAAAACTTGTGAAGAAAATAATTGGGAAAATTGTAAATACCTTTCAAAAACAGATTTTGTAGACAACCTCTCCCAAACCATATATATATATATATATATATATAAACACATTCACAGTTCTTCAAATTCTCTCCCTGATTTTTTAACCCATGAATTTTTGCAGGGGGGCCACACTGACGTCAACGACGAAGAAACACCACTTTCACTTGCAAT